AATGTAAAGCCAAGTGACTAACGATAGCAAAATAGTCGGGAGAGTGAATAAGAGAGCGCGTCGACACAACCATCATCGCATCGTATTCGAAATGTAAATTACAGATATTATCCACTTTGAACGCCATTCATACGCTCTTATTGTACTCTAATTTAACCATATACTTGAGCATCATTTTAATTTTCAATGCTGTGCGCGCTAGCTCTCCCTCTCTCTGTCTATTAATTTGCAAGAGATAAGCCGGAATCGAAAGAAGTTTCATATGTCGAAGTCCAAACCGACACATTTTCTAAGAAAGTCGCTCTCATAAGAGTAATTTTCGATTAAATCAACACTTCCTATCTTTTGAACGACGTAGAAAATTAGTCGAGTGCTGAGCAAACACTCACACATACCTACGAACATCAATCGTTTTTCGTTACGGCGAATAACAACATCCGAATGTGCACTTTTGTCTGGTTTGCAATTTTGAACTTTGGTCGTTCGCTCTCTATTTTCGTGTGCCGTTTTCAATTTATTCGATGTCACTTTTGTCTGGGCCATGTGTTTGGCTCGAATTGACTCGGCGCTTTGGAATTGCCGTAATAGTCGTCGTTGTCATTGTTGCAACTGATTAAACTCAATTGTGCATTGTCAATGATGATATTTTATGCCATGTTGCATTTGAATTTGTAACAAATTTCACAGTCACACACCAAATATGCATTGCTCAGCATTTAACGATACGCAAAAATCGGCACTAGTCAGCGAAAGAATTGGCCGATTGTTATATTTTTGCGCTTCTCGGTCGAAATTCAAATAGCATGCATTCACAAATCGGCATGCAAATCGAGCGTGCACACATTCGATGTACACAACAATTTCTGATGAATGATCTATCTGCTAAACACAGAGCGAATGAAACAGAAAGAAAAAAACGTATTAAAACCATTTTGCACTCGACACTGACATCGTTATCAACAACCAAACATGGGCTGTTGTTGTTGCTGCTGCTCCGCTACGGCTGCATTTTGATGTTCATTTTTTGCGCAAACAAGTAGCTGATGATGTGAGCACTCGTGTTTTTTTTTGTTGCACACATCCGTCTCGCTTGCTCATTCGACTGAAATCATAATATCGCATTATTTGAATTAGCTGATGATTCCAAGTATCACATTTCGAAATCGCGAATCAGCAAACACACAAATTTTCATTATTTTCTTTGTTCAGCACAGTGGGTTGCGAGTATTTGTGTAAATATTTACGAATCCAATTGATGCGTGAACGTGGAGCAAAAAAAAGGCTTGTGTGCATGTGCTGGGGGAAAAGGCAAATGGATGCGTTGATTTTGCGGCAATGACTAATGTACATTATGGCATAACGGCAAAGAGTCAAGTAGCTCATAGGCAACGTTTTGAGCAAGCCAAAGGCATAGAATCAAGGAGAACGGCCTAAAATCTCAGCTTTCTTTTGAATCAGCGTAGCTTAATTAGCAAATATATGCGTCTTCAACAGATAAATATTTGCTTCGAATGAATCAGTGCAAATGGAATGAACGAGAGATAGAGATTGAATTGACACAGTGCAATTAAAAGTCATGGTTATTTGCAACGCGAAATGTGTGACGACGGTTTTGCGTGGCGGCGGTTTCGATCATGACGGATCGTTTATTGTCAATTATCTCTCTCATCGCCGCTGATAACGTGACCATCACAAAAAAACGCTCGTTTTGGTTTCATACTGCATTGAAAAGTGTATTTAAATGGATAAATATGCACTGGCAATTTGTAAGCGATTACGCGTTTGCTATTTTTATCGACCGATTTTTCTTCGTTCTTCTTTTTTTTAATGGGACAGTCTCAATTCCCATTTCAGCAAACAATGCGAGAGAGAAAAAACTAATATATTGATGAAATGCCACGAAATCTAATCGTGACAATGGCTGAGCTGTGTAATTATCCGATGTTTTGTTTTGTTTCAAGCACTCGCGTTCCTTGTACCAGGTAAATGGTGTGAAACAATTGGAAGATATTATTAGCACAAAGCAAAAATGCTTGGGCTTTTAAAACGCCGAGCGAATCTCGCTCACGATTGATCGAATCACATAAACAGACAAAGGTATTTTGTCGCGTTCATTTTGCTTTCGTAGTGAATTAGCTGCGGGACGACAGTTGGCCTATCGTGCTGCAACGCGAGATCAAACTCGAGCAACGGCGACGAGGGCAACGACGAGCAACGACGAGGAACGACAAGGGATAGAAATGAGTAAAGGTTTTTTTCTCTCTGTGTATTGAGCTGTGTATTCGAGAGCAGCGAATAGATCAAAGCGAAATCGAATCGGCAGACGGTTGAATAACCGAGGTAAGAAAAGAGAGAGAGAATAAAAAATATACCGTGTAAATAAAAGTTTGGAATGCGATTAAACAATCTCATGGCAAATATAATTTAGTTGTGAGATACACTTCTGGCTCTATCGCTGTGTATGTGTTTTTGTTCCGCATGGTATTTCGGCTTTTGTTATGTTACGAAGCCGAAATGAAAGTTCCACAAACTTTGGTATGAGAAACAAACATATTCTACGCTGACGGAATCGGTTTTATCAATTTGGTCAAAAATGAGAATCGGAAATATATATTTGGTTCGATGTCGCGCTGCCTTTTTATTTATTCATTCATTCATTCTTTCTCTCTCCCACTCTCTATTTCGGCCTGTCTCAGCTGCTGTTTGCGAAATCGAATTTCGCAATAACCGAAAAGCGCGAATTCATGTAAATTGAAATCGTAAAAATTCTTCAGCGCATGTGAATGGCTGAATCGTGATTAATAAGAACAAATGTTTGCGACTGAATATTCGGCGTTTCGTTGTTTATTGTATATTTTGGCAACACAAAAGAGAGTCACACACACACACACCGAGTGGATTACATTTTACCCAAATGCACACAGAGATACACACACATAAGCACAATGGGTTTAATGTTGATTTTCGGCTGAGTGAGAGAAAACGAAAGAATTCCTCGACAATCGGCTATAATCTTTGATTTTATTGCCACAGTCAATCCCGTTGCGCTCTATTCACTCTCTGTTTCACATTTATTGGCTACGAATTCAGGACAGAATTTTTCATCGCCACTCTGCCTCTCCCTCTTTCTCTTCGCTGTCGCTTTTTTCTGATCTACTCTGTTGTTCGTTTCATTTGATCGAGCGCAACGAAATGTATCGAAATACGGAAACTTGCAAATGCTTAAAAAAAACGACATATGGCCCATATGCTGTGGCACCCAATAAATATAGAATTGAAAACTATTCGGTGTTGACTTTCGACATTGTGCGCGGCTACTGTTGATGAACGGACCGGCGAAAATAAATGAATAAAGTGAGAAAGAATAAGAAAAAGAAATAAACAGCTGATGAAATCAAATTGAATAAATAAGCATTACTCGGTGGACGGTTTCTTAATGCAATTTCGGTGTGTGTGGGGCGCATGAGTTGCAAGGCAATAGATTGAATTTTAATAGAGCTGCACACAACCATTTGCAAAACGTTAACTTTTTTTTCTTTCTCAAATATTCCACGGTTCTATGCACGCGCGCTCAAATCGAATACAATTCTCGATTGTGAAAATGAATGTGTATCGAAGACAAACAAAATGTAATAAATTTTGCTGTCTCGGTGCCACCAATCCCAAGACAAGACAAATGAGCCGAACGTTTCGCAATGAGAGATTGGCTTTTGTTTTTTTTTTTAATATGAATTTCGATTAGCGATTGCTATCGCTCGAAATGTATGCTATTTTGCAAAATAACATTGATATTTTTTTTTCTACAGAAACAAAGAAATAAGTGGTGAAGCCCCAGGTATATGCGATCTGTGGTATGTGCACACACTGGGGAATTGCTGTCGATTTGCTATTATGACTCATAGGCATAATTTACTTGTTGATTTGCTAGATAATGATTTGCGCACACTTTGCTTTCTTTATGAGTTGCAATAATTGCCTGTGGACAATACACAAACCGACACATATGTGTACATGCATGCACATCATCTCATAAATATGTATAAGTTGTCGTCGTCGATGTCATACCGTATGTATTTATTTATGATGATTTAAAACAAAAGTGGCAAAAAATACAATATTTCTGAATTCCACGGGAAAAAAATGAATTGAAATTAATAGATTGATCGTAAAATAGAAGCTGCATACACAGTGTATGTACAATTAATATTAATGAAGTGTGCAGTTCCGACACGTCTACGTCTCATGTGTTATTTGTTCTCTTTGTATGGATATTGATCGCAACACACAAAGAATTCTCTCGTTTCGAATAAGAAGCAAATAAATTATGATTTGAATTGTGCCCGGTGGAAATGTTTCCACATTTGTAGCCAAATAATAAATGGTGTGCGATTGTGAATTCAATTGATGGAATAAATGATGGTAGGCGAGATGTTGCATGTCACAATGATCGCGTCCATTTCGACTTGAATAGTTCATACAGCGCATTTCTTCTTGTTCTGTTTTTCTCCTTCTTCTTCTTCTTCTTCTACTTCTACCTCATTTCGAATAAACTCAAAACTTCAACGGGCGACTGATCAAAGTGGTCTGAGACTAAACAGCCATAAATAATATAAATTCATATAATACATTGATATGGCATTCATTTGAAAATGAAGGGAGCATCAATCTCGGCCGTGATTTCGAAATCAAATGTCACACAGGCGAGAGATGTTTCCACGAGTTTTTGATTAATACATACTCAGCTCTGCCACACATTTCCACAACGAAATCGATTTCATTTCGGTTCAATGGAAAAATATAGATGTATCAACGTGTATACTCGAAATAACAACGTTGAAGGCGAATAATAATTTACAATCGTCATTTGATATGCGAATAAACCTTATCAACCTACGTGCATATTAGTCACTTCGATTGATAGATCACCGCAAAAACAGCGCGGTTCAAGCGGTGGCTGGAAACAAAAAAAAAGGTGATCGGAAAAAAAATGTTGAAAATACCTTTACAATGTGCGTGTTATCGACTGCTGTGCAAAAATTCAAACGCTTGCGTCATCAATAACTCGTGTGCTTATTTGTCGAATAAAAAAGAATGTTTTAGCGATTCTTGTTAATCGGTTATTGTGTTGTTTATTTCACCGAAAATTAATCCACACACCAAAGAGCAATTCTTTTGCCGTCGAAAATGTAAATTCATTCGTGAATGAAATAGAAAAAAAAATCAGGTTTTTAATTTCTACGAAAATATTCGTGTTTGTTTGTTGTCGTCGTCGCTATAAAATCCATTCACATATCACATTTTTTTTATAATGTCGCGATTTTCGGGTCATAACATTGATCACAAGCAAAATAAAAACTTTCTATGGAAACTAAAACACACGCTTTGTCACACTAGAATTTGTGTTACGAAACAATTTACTCTTAATTTTTTCCCCTATTCAACGTGTTGTTGTATGTTATTCTTCACTTTTTTTCTGTTGTCTTCATGTGATTCAGTACAATAAAATTCATGTGCTTTGGGTGCAATAAATGAACAAAATTAAAAACTTCTTCACACACTTTTTTCTCTGTCTTGTGATACCGTCACAAATTAAAGTTTATATGTCTCTTATTAGTTGGATCATCAAATTTTTTGCAGTTCAGTACAGTTGGTGTTGCAGCAACAAAACAAACAGAAATTGCCTTGATGACTCGACACACACGAACAACAATGGGACAAACAATAAACAAAACAAGTGATTCGCTGGCGAAAAATGACGCGTGAATCTTCTATTTCCTTATTTGTCATCCGTGGGTTTTTGTGGTTATCTCTCACCATTGTATATAGAAACTCACTCGAAGATTGACTGACTGACGTTTTGTTATGTATGCCAACAACAACATCACCAGCAATAGTAATAACATTCAGCACATATTATTCGCTTGCTCTCGTACGTACACAATTTAATTGCGAATTAGAAGCGAGATTTTGTTTCATCTCCTCCGAGACATGTTCGGCATTTGGCAGGCTGGATGATAAGAAGCACTCAACATTCACTTCAAAACCATAATCCGTTTTTAATATGTTCTAGCCTTTTTTGCCTCGCACTTAGTATCACACTGACTTGAATTGATGCTTGTTTCTTATCATTCACACTCTTTGCTTAAATATAATGCCACGAACTAGTTTGATTCAAACGATTTACCGTTTGTTCTTATGCTGGGTTTTGTACACAATTTATTATTTCCTTCGCATATAAATTTGCTATCGATGCCGTAATTAAAGCGAATTAGAAAATTGTGTGTGCACGACAACAAATTCTAAGTTGAGGACTACTTGAAAAAGAAAACGGTGAAGATAAAACGCGCTGTGGCGACTGTATTCGCCACAAGCTCACAAACGACTGCACAACCATTGAGAAAATTTACGGAATGCGGACACAGCAGCAGCAAGCAGTCAGTAAAAATAAACATCGAAGCATACGGCGTTGCGGTGTTTTTGGGCGCAAAATATTCATTGCAGTTGGTTTTGTTGCGACGTTAACGGTGACGACGCAAGTATCATGCGGTCGCTTGCCGTAAACATGTGTGTTATGACTGGATAGAAGAGCTTTTGCATGCGTTACGCTTTTTCTTTCGATTCGCTTTTAAATGCGTCTCTCGACACACACACACACACACACACACACACACACTTGTGTAAACGAGACTTTCATCAAGCAGCTACCGTAACAGTGATAATAGCACAATCGTTTAGCCATACAACTATTGCAAATGTTAATTTATGTGTATGCACACATCGAACTGATATCCTCTCATGTAAGAATGCATTATATCATATTATGGTTATAGCAAGTGTGTGGATCGTGTCGCATAAGGCCCGTGTGTTTTTTTATTCCGACTGTGTGTACCCAACAGATCGAGCTCCATCGCCCGATTTATACACACTTACGACAACCGAAAAATATAGGCAGCGCACAGCAAAAACAACAACAGGCGCAACGAAGAAATGAAAAATTAATGTGTACAAATCAAGTGATGGGATGGAAGCAGTAAAATGCAATGTAAACATGAAAAATTCCTTTGGTTTTTGTGGTTGTTCGGTGTGTTTCCAATTTGCTTTTCCACGAGTATGCCTGTGCATTGTAAACGAAACACAGCATTTGTCAGAACATCGTCTACTCTTTTTATTAGCACACACACGATTCGTCATTTGTATTATTTTCCGTATGAAAGATACTGTTATGTTTCGTTAGAGTTATGTGCATTTTGCAATGTCTTCGTTTACTATTTCACACGAATTGTTAACCGGCAACCGACGAACGATAAACCAAATCCAATGAAATGAAAGAGAAGTAAATTCAAGTGGTTTTTCTTACGTGAGCTCTCTCGCTCCGAGCACACTCAATATAGTGTACGGTTTTATTTTATTTTTCATGGGTGTTACAAAATCGAATCCCAGTTTGGCTGCCTGACTGCTTGCTTGCTTGTGATGTGGTGATAAAAGTGTGGCAGACTCGGCGGCCGATCAAATTCAATTCTCATGCAATTCACACACTCAGACACTCGATGGTGAAAAAAGTCAGAACCACATAAATTGCATTATATCTTCTATTTTAGTGCAACCGATACTACCTGTTCAAGATCACTTCGCTTGCGATTTTGAGATTGTATGCACTTCAGGTCGGCTTCTTTTTTTCCTTATTTGTGCGCCGGGTAAGCAAAGAAGAAAATAGTGGAAATCCCAGTTTTTCGACGGCAAATCGTTACCGTAAATCGACGTGCAACTTTCAGACAGGCAAAACATGATGAATTATACATAGTCTAGTTGGAAATTGTTCGCTTTTTTGCTCGTTCTTCATTCACACTATCTCACTCTACCTCAATCTCTTTCTTTTTTCTCTCTCTCTTTCACTTTGTCTTCCTCTCTCCAGCTCGGTTCATTTGAAAACTAGTCTAAAAAAAATGAAAACGGATTGATTTTTCCACAAGGAAAATGCGCTCGTATTTTACTTTCGATCGCCCAAATGCCAGTGTTTGGCTAACACTTTACGAAAAACGAATTGACTTTTGGGGTTTTTGTGTGTTTTCGCATGCATTCAATTGAAATGTTTCCCTTCGGAAAAATGGCAAATTTGCCCGCATTTTTTTTCTTATTATTATCACATTTTCATTGCCGTATGAATGAAATGTGCTCGAGAATGCACAAAGCGAGTGTCGGCCATGACGACGCCGCTGTCGTCAGCAGTTGATTGTCAATATTTGCATTGCATCAATAAAGGATTGCAGTTTTAATGTCATTTCCACATTTCATTAAATGTATTTGAACTGGTGATAACAGCTGCTAATTGCATTTAATTGTATGCCTTCGTTTCGCTTCACTTTTTTCTCTGCCGTTGCACATTTATTTAAATAACATCATTATTGTGCTATTCAAATTCAAGTTTGTTGCGCAGCAAGCGTGCTGTTCGTATGTGTGTGAGAGGTATGAATGGATGGCGAAAATGAGTATGAGCGAAGTTATAGCGATGCTGCCGCACATTATATTCTGGCGCTCACAGTGATTGCAAATGAAAACGAATTAATTTTCATAAAATGCGTTTCGCGCGCGCGACATGGAGCTGTGTGAGGGTTTCAATTTATTTCACACTGGTGTACCCTATCTATTAGACTATCATAGTCTTAATGTCTTGTATAACTTCGGGAAGTATAATAAATATGAGCGAATGGAAATGATTACCAAGCCGAAATGCGAGAGAGAGAGTCATTTTCCGACAGCAACAACAATGCTTTAAAATGATGATGGAATGAGATGAGTAACAGCCGCCGCTGCTGCTGCTGCTACTGCCGCTGCTGCTGCTGCTGCCACCGATGAGCATTTGGTGCTCAAGGAAAAAGCCACACACATTTACCGAAAAAAAATGTGGCAGAAACTTTGTTGCATGGAGAGAGCGAGAGTAGATTTATTGCTTTTGGGATGCTGGTGACAAGGTTGGTTGAACTTTACGTTCACATTTCAAAACAACAACAATAACAACAGCGACGACGGGGAGAGAAAAATTCCTTCAAATGCCAAACAAAGGACTATAATGTTACGACAGTGGTGTGTCTTGGACGAGGGATTTCTCCACTCCTTTTTTTCTCTCCCGAATATTCTCAACTGCGGTGCTGACAATGAGGTAGACGGGAATGATTGTAATAGAGGGTTGCAGTCAAGCAAACTCGTTCAATGTCTTATTGTCTTGTGCCAGCTTCCGTTCAAGCGCTCAATCCACACACGCGTACACAAAAACACCGAAAATCTATCGACTGCATCACCTTCGATCCAAACATTGTAACAAACTGTGGTAAATTATTCAATTTATTATCTTATTAGTTCAATGTCACATCACACACAATCTCACTCTCTCTCTCGTCTCCTTTTTGTGCGTTGCAGTCTAGTTACTTGATGGCACTCCATACACACAATTGAGCCCGTGTTACCGGTTTATCGACACTCCCCGATTCCGACTAATCGTCGAAACAAGAGACCGGTGCAAATGATTATGAATGAATATAATTGAAATTTATGGTTTTTATTTCGTTCATGCGTTTTCCCTTTGGCATTCCACCGTCATCGTCATCGTCATCGTCGTCGCTGCTACTGCTGTTTTAAACAGCAGCTCCTTGGCCTCACAATGACAAAATGACAGCAACTGAATGCAAAAGAATTTCACCCTGATTTCTATCTAAGGCATTACACTAACGACGACAACGACGAGTGGTGTACCCATAATAAATGTAATAAAGTAATCCGGGCGATTTTTCTTCATAACTTGAAATTGGTCTCTTTTATTTTCATGCACACGGTTCTTTGGTTCTTTTGCTACGTAATTGGTTTTTGAAGGAAAAAGGAAGAAAAAAAAACGGAAGCATAGAAGACATAGAGAAAAACAACGGAACACTGAAGAGCCTATAAGAATGGACACTTTTGAATGTTTCATTTCCACTGTGTACAATGGATAGAACGAAGGAATTTTTCAACGCCGCGCGCATAAAAATCATTATGTTTCCTGCGTGTGTTTTCTTCTCTCTCACCTCCTTCGTCTTTTCGCCCCGTTCACTCGTACCATCTATCTCTTGCCTGGCTTCATAATAGAGTCATAAAAATAACATCGTGAATAAGCGCGTCAGTCGTCAATTTCTCAATGTGCGGCGCTCTCTTTCTCACTTAGATAGCTCTTAGCGACTCACTCGTATGTCGTCATAGCATATTACTCCAGGGCACCAAATGCGTTTTGATATCGCAAAGCCGATAAAACGAAATAAACAAACGAACATATTGTTCACTCAAGTGGAGATGGAGGGAGAGAAAAAGCGGTCGCCCAAAGGAGAAAAAAACGAAGAAAAATCGTATAATAAATATCTGTTCTGCATGAATAAGTCATGGGAATTGCTCTTTTATAGAGTACATTTCAGAGGTGAGTGCGACATCACACGGAACCGCAATTTCGAATCGGCTCAAATATAAATTCAGTGCCAACATTGAGCTGTATCATATTTTCAGCTTCATTGCAAAATCCGCGCATTTCCTGATTTTTTTCTCTTCAAAATACTGCCGCTCCCCCTTCCACGCCCGGTGACAATTTCGCATTGCATAACATGACACAATCCCAAATGTTCTGTCTATTTTCACCTCCAAATTGGGTTAACTCAATTATCTTTTTTCCACAACACACAGGTTGGTGCTCACCAACCAAACCCAAAACCGTATGCAGTAAATCGATTCAAGCCGCAAAATTGGATTTTGATTTAATCGAATTGTTGTTCGTGCCGACATCGCACCAATGAAATAAATATATATACTGGTAATGAATCTTCGGTGCAAGCAAAACAAAATAAACCACGTTTACATCATTGATTTCGTTCTTGGTTGGCGAATTTTTCCACTCGCTTTATCTTCTATCATCACGTCTATTGCCAAAATCCAAACAATAATTCGACTATCAGCAGCTCGACTCCACTTCGGCACACGGAGCAAAACATACACTGTATTACGTCGGAAAAATTCATCAAAAATTTATTCACTCTGCGGAAATGTGACGTTGATTTATTAACTCAAAGTATTTGACGTTGATATTCATTCAGCAGTTTTTTGTGCTCCGATGTTAAACCAATTTTCATAGACACAACGTGTGCAAAAGAAAAAGTGTAGAAGGTAAATCTACCGTTTTCCACTCAAGTGGCAGACCAACCAGACATTTATTAATAGCTAGAAGTCATTTAATGTGATTACTACTCACCTGTATCTCGAGTAGCAGCTCCTGTTTTCGATTGCGAATTTCGATCAGTTGTTTCTGTTGTTCGGGCGACATTTCTGTTACGAAATAAGGTAAAATGCGGAATAAATAAAATGAAATGTCATTTTATGATTACGATTGAAGGAAAAATGAAATGACGATGAATGCAAAATACAAAGAACTGGTTTTTTTTGCCAGTTTTTTTTTGATACTGAAGTACATCATAGGTTTTTGGCATACTCATTATATCTTACATATAATTTATGATATGCGAGAGAGAGAAAAACAACCATACACACCGGTTTATCGATAAGAGTTTTGGGTTATCGATTTGTCTAATCAAAACACAGTTAGCCACACGGTGGCAAACAAAACGAACGTTTGGAAAATTAACGGTGAAGAGTGTTCACTGAACACAGTCGTCGACGAAATGAACACATGGGCAACCACTTCACAAAAATCAAAAGGTCTTCGATTTAACAAACTTCTCTACTTCACATCTGAACAGCGACTACTGTTCGATCTTGAAATGAAATTGGTTAAAACTTCGATCTCAAAAAGGTTGTTTTTTTTTCATTCCTTTGACCATCGACACACATTTATTCACATACACGAGGAAATAATTGTGTGTTTCTCCCGGTCTCATCACCGAAACTTCTTTGAAGTAAACGAATCAACCGATTTATGATGTTTTTAACCTTATAGTCTTGTTCAATTCCACTTGAATCGCATTCCAACCGAAAAATGCTGTGCGTTTGAAGTGTGAACGCAATCGGTAGAGAAGCTGTTAATTGGACGAGCAGTTATGTTTATAAAAGAAACCTCAATCGGGCGCCAAGGTTTCGTTCGGATAGTAATTCTGACGATGCGGTCATGACCAATGAAACTATTTAATAATTCGTATAGTAGAAAAAAGTGTGCCCTGCATCAAAGTAGCGTATTCCGCCTAATTGACGGAAGTTCAAACAATTATCGGAATAAATTGATACGTTCAACTTCATCGAGAGCCTCTTGAATGCATTATTTAAAGCGAAGAAGAAACAAGTACGAGAATGATTTATGTTGAACCAGCATAACGAACGAGCCTTATTACAAAAACTCTCACGCACAACCACAAACTCAACAAGCCGCATGTATGCAGCAGTGTTTTTTTTTATTCACATTTTTTTCCCTCTTGTCTTCATTCCATCCAGTGTAATAGGAAAACAAAAGTTTTGATTTAATGCAATGCCAATGCATACAACGTCGTTATATGCAGTGACTGTGGGATAGAATGCACCAAGGCACATTCCCGTCTCATGTATGTAGACAAAGAAGTTGATCGACAACACCGTAAACCGAGGCTAGAATACACGGCAAATGAAATATATGCACGCAACAACCAGTAATCTTCATTGTTTAGTCTTTCATTCTCTCAACACACAGACACAAGGCAGAGAGACATAAACATAGTTGGAACATAGCCACATATATTCCATGTGTAGAGCGCACAACATATCATCTGTGCACGTATGTGTGCACCTTTTAACGTTTTGTTTACATTCACTCATAACGCGATATTCTTGATTTTTTCAATGGATTTTTCGCCTTTTCTCTTCATCGCTTAACATCGTTCGTTGGAATTTTTTATGCTTGCTCTCATACTCTTTCTCTCTCCTCTCTCTCTCTCTCTGCCTGCCTCTGTTTCTTTCACTCGCATCATAGCGTTGTTTACACTATAAGTGAAACGGAATCAAGTAATATTTTTCATAATGATGATGGCTCTTGAAACATTTAAATTGTACAAAACAACAACAACTGAAACAATTACACACTTTCCAATTAATTCTCGGTTGTTTTCACTTTTAAACCTAGCGAACGATGCAATTGCATTGATTCCAATCAAAAATTCATTACCGAAGGATTCTGTCTTTTCAGTTTATTACTATTTGTTACAAAAACTTGTTGCTTCTGCTGACGTCGAAGGATACAACTGGATTGAATCACGTTAACTCGATGCACTTTTGGTTGATCCACTTTGAATATATGAAGTCAATGCACAATTTAATCCAATAATTTAATTAATTCAATAGGAAAACTGCAATTAATTAAATGAAAAAAAAAACTAATTGAATGTACAAAGTCAAATGTGAAATCAGAATACACACACATTCAGTAACACCAATCAATCATCGCAATTGCGCGCTGACAATCCCGTTTATCTATTATTTGAGTAACAATTACAAAACCAGCAGCACACGAACAAAAATTCATTCATTTTCCCATGCAAATGCACACACATGCAAACGCAGACCGTAAACTGATACACAAATACACATTGGTGACACTGGGATGAAACTTTCTTAAAAATTCTGATACCGTTTGTTTACCGACCAATCGACCGACCGACCGACACACATGCATACATTACACACTCACACACACTTGCGCGCTCATTCCCAAGCATTCGCACACTTTCGTGAGAATAATAAACAAAAAAACCATTTTATTTTGGAATTTCAGTTTATTATTGAATGAAATTCACCTGGTAAATGATTTGGATCACTCTGTTGCACCAATGATGAAATGCTCGCATATGAACTGCGATCCATAACACTCAACATTTTCGTATAATTGGCACAATTTCTTTTGTTTATTATAATTTCTAACAGATAGTTCAAGAGCAAAACATTTACCACGATCCCAACACTGAACAATAGTTCTCTCTTCTTTTTTTTTTTATTCGAAAGGCAAAACAGTCAAAACCAAAATACCAATCGGTGGTGAGAATATAGCCAAGTGAAACGACAATGCACGTAGTTTTTTAGCGGTGGAATGGCTTTTGGTATGTTTTTGATTTTGGTTAGGCTATGTGACGTCTGGTGGCGACGCAGTCGACGAAAATACTTTTATGAGAAATTTTTCGATTTTGATTTGAAAGCTAGGTAAATTGATGAAAAAATGGACTAAAAATGATTTGTTTCAAATTCATTTGATTCAACACAAAAATCCATCGAATCAAAACGGTTTTTCTGTCCATTGGAAATCGTGGTGAAATCAAATCACGGCAACTACGCATGAACATACCCATGTAGAGACAGCAGGAACTGAAAGGAGAAAAAAACAGTTCCACTGAAACATCTGTCAAATTGACTTCGTGCGGTGCTATACACACAGAGAGAGGCAGTAGCACATAGAAAAAAATCAACAGATTATTATTGTTATTGTGGAGTAGTGCGAAAGATACATGGCATTTTTCTCTATCTATTGTTGTTGCCATTTGTGTGTCATTATAGTATTTGATGTTATTGACGAATACGGCGCTGCAAAAATCGACCAAAAACAGCAAAAAAAAACACTCACACTCTCTCTCCCGATATTCCAAATTATTCTAACCATTTTGATATTCATCGCAGTGTATTGTTATTGTTTGTAACAAATTGAATTGTAATTGTTTTGTGTGAACGCAAAAAGATTGCGATAAATCGGAGTGTGTCTGTGTGTGTGTGTGTCTGAATATTTTTTCGACGTCTTCTTCTTCTTCGAAAGTGCCATGGTTCGATGTTTTTAAGTGTTTCAAACGAAAAAAAAAATGAAAGGTCCAACGCAGTAATGGGTAGCCAGTTAAAGGTGCAGAAAATTCGGCTGAAACAAAACGAACTGTGAAACCATTGACTTAAACTCTATCTCTCACACACACCCGAAACACTACGATACAAATGAATTGAACGGAATAATTTTTTTTTTCGGTTTCTGCGTTGTTTTGTGATAAAAGAAATTTGGTTTTGTTCAATTTCAATGACAGATAGCGTAAAACAGATGATCCATAAACAAGTTTTTTGCGTTTCATTTTGGTGTACGGCCACTGTTTACAATGGATAAATTCGCTGCTACAGCTCCTACTACAGATGAAACAATAAACAATTCGCCAAATAATTCGAAGCATGTGTACAAAATGCACGACAGCAGTCAGATTGCATACACATTGGATGTTGTATGCATGAATTCAAGCAATAACAATAATAATAACAATGAAAAAATGGACGATGCAAATCAAACGACGACGACGACAACAACAACAACAACCGCTGCATCGAATCAAAAATTCAACACATCAATGCGACAAGATTCGATCAATAGTGAATTTTCCACATTAACCGATTCAAATCCGATGAATACGGCAGAGACGGTGGTAATGGCTGACGAACAGCACAGAAATAGTATTGAGTTGCGAGCTGACGATGAATACTCGATCAACGACGATAATCAATCCAGTGATGAAGAGGCATCCGATAACAATTCCACCGACAATATATCGTTTGTGAGCGAGGATATTGTTGACAATGTCATTTTGCTACCGAACAATTTCCTTTCGGACGATGAGTCAACCAATTCGGATGATGTAGTGTATGCGTATCGTGGTGCCGATTTTGAACCCATCCATGTGGGCATCGATGTGAATGCAGACGAAGAGACTGACTATTTAGAAATGGATTTTGAACCAGATCCAGCATCTGAAATTGAACCGGAACCAAATCAATCGATCGAACCAAACAACTGTATCCATATGGCTGGCTCATCGCCTAATTTCAATGCACCGAATTTATTCAACAACATTTCAAATACTCTAAACAATGAAGCGGCTAATGGGCGCGTCGATCTAAATATAGAACGCACAGGTGTACACAAAAATTGGCTGGCACCGATCGAAGTACGACTGAATGGCATCTACAAAGAAGCCAACACGGCGTCGACGGCATGCAATCGAACCAATTGCAATGAAAACAGCCATGACAATGGAACCATTTACACGGTCAATAATAATAATAAACTTGAAGCAAATGCGGATTCAATGGAAAAGGAAAGCAATAAGTCATTAGCGGCTAAGGAAAATACGAATAAATTGGTAACAAACCGAAATGGAGATGAAAATTCACCGTATTATGATAATACGGTATCATTGTCGAATCGCAAGTATACCGGCACCATACCAAAGACAAATAAAATTCACATTCGATCGACTCGATCGAAAACGGCCATTCCGACGGAGTTCGTGGTCAATGGCAATGGCCGCACGTTTGAATCTCATGTCGCTGGCACGGCACATAGCTCATTGGAATTGTGGTCAAATCAAAACAGTCAAACACAATACAAACGATGGAAAATTTCGGATCGGGAAAAACCGACCACCTCAGCATCGTATTGTGATAATTTAGGTGGTTTGATCGATGCATCGAACTGTGATACGGGCAGTGGTTACACCAAACGCACCGTTACAGCCGCAAGGTCAATGTCATTCCCAAACGAAGACCTTTTGGACCAAAGAATACCAACAGCCGCTATCAAATCGATTGTTTGCGCACCTATTTGCAAGCGTGAAACTGAGAATGACGTCGATCAATCCGTTTCGGTCACTTTTGAAAGCATATATTGCACCATTGATACGATTATCAAAGCGCTTGTAAGTATGAAGCCTTGACTTTGAACCATGTTTTATACACACATTTTTATCTTTATTAACTTCATCGCTCATTGCATATCCGACTTGATTCTAATTGAAATTTGATGCTGTTTTTATTCCAGGAGAAAATTCACGTTCTTCCAGATTTGCGGGTATTACAAAAGGCGTTACGCGATGATGAGGGCAAGGTGTCACAAATGAATATTCCCGAGTATTTGGTTTATGCATCGAAACGATACTGCAATTACAAAGCAATTATAGCTGCCATTCAGCAAGCTTGCGATGATGTCGATGTTAAATATTTTTCGGTAAATTTGCATTCTTTGCTACTGTTCGACTTCACTCGAAAATATTGACAGAAGATTTTAGCAGTCATTGAACATATTGACGCAAGTATTTTTTGCCATTGAATTAATCAATATGTTTTTTACAGCCTGCCGAAGATGTAATTGAAACTGTACACATTCCCGTTCGGATGATAGCTGCTCGACTGTCAACAAATGGAAGTCTCACCAACATTCTTTCAATCAAAAACAAACGGTTCCATCAAATGAATGTGCTGGGTATGAACTGAGCTCTAAAATAATCATTCGACACATTATAATGTGTCCGAGCCCAAGAATTCAATATTTGCCAACTTCTCAATTTCACTGAGCTAATCTATTTCTTTTCATTTTGCTTCCACAGGTAAAATTGTCAACATGATTCGAAGATTTCCGAATATGCGGGACGAGCTAATTCACAACGAGTTCATAACAATTCCTCAATACTATCGCAGTGGTGTGATTTGCATAAGCAAGAAGAAATCGTCAAATCAGATTTAACGACATCGGACAATATGGACCCGTTTTGTTACAATGCAACCATCTATCTAAGTGGAATTTCCTATTTATTTCGTTTCTATTCACTACTAAAGTCTGTTTTCAAATTATTATTCGCAATGATAACAATAGAATGTTATTTGTCACAAACTATTCTGCGCTAGATTCGAATTAGTCGATCGACATTATGGCTCAGAGATACATTGAATTAGTCTTAAGACAGTTGAAAACAAATTGTGACGGAACAAAGTGTTGAGTTTAATCTAGTTGACATTAAGTCTTAAGCAACCATTTGCATTTTTATAGCATAGTCATCTCTCTTGGCCATGATTTTTCAACGAATTAATACAAATAGTCTTCATTTCCTTATACACTCAATCTTTTGCCGAGCATCTGAAACGGACTTGAAAAACGTATTGAAGGAAACTCAAATAAATATACTTTTTAAATTATTCCACTATCCAAAATTTAATCCAATGAAGCAAGCAAGAAAAACCAACACAATTTTATATACAATTTTAATATTAGCATTGATCAATGTTAGGAAATACCCAGCAAAAATGCACACACAAATCAACGGCACACAAATAAGTTGATTTGCTAAATTAATTCGCAATAAAACCAAGCATAATAAGAATCCTACGGAATGGTGTGTTTTATTCTCCAAGAACATTCATCCGATTTATGTTTTTTTTGTCGAATCAATGAGATGTAATTGAACCCGTGAGCATAAAAACGAATTACAAAGAAAATCGCCGATCAAAACGTAACATAGATTTGTCGGCGTAACATACCAGTGTACAATTTGTTCCGAATTGAGCGAGTAACAAATAGGTGTTTCGCTTTGTTCGGCGACGTTTTCATAAGTCATTTTATGCGCACGGGTTCAATTGTCATTTTGCGAATCTCCATAAAACTAATCGTTCATGCGTTCTAAAATTGAAGTACTAAATCAACTTGACTGTGTTGGTATGGTTGAGTGACTCATGTCAAGTGGCGCGAGCGGTGTGAACTGTCAATGTATGTAAATATTTCAAGTCAGCAAAATCACAACCGCTACTAAACCGCGTCTGTTTACATCAACTGCATTTTTCCTCGCAAATTTACTTCATTTTGGATTTACTTCTACACGATTTTTGTATGTTTTCGGACGATTTTTGTGATATTTCGGAAGGTTTTTGTTTCACCCGAACAAATCAGAGCAAGACAACAGCTCGAATTGATTTTTCATGCGTTTTTTACAAAGTGGATTTGCGCGTGAATTTTGGATTAATAGCCAAGTATTTTTTCGGCAGATGGACAAGGGCATTGAAGCAATCAAGAAGCAAACGCCGTTTGCATTGTACGACTTTCCCGACGAAACTCTGTTGCTCATCATGATGAATTGCAATAGCAAAGATCTGATGACAATGGCAAATGTGTGTACACGGTTTCGTTCGATTGCCAAGGATGCATTTGGTAAAAAATATCGCGGAACAGATTATTTTGAACTGCATTGTGGTGACGATGAAGATTTAGCTCAAACACAATATGAACCATATTTCAGCATTTTCGGAGAGAATATGAGTGCCATTCATATTTCAGCTTGTAATCGTGAAATAGTTGATCGTAACGACTGGCTCATGGTTCAAATTCAGAATTATTGTAAATCAATAACTCACTTGTACATTTATCAAGGGATAATTGACCTAACGTTATTTCTACGGTGCATGCCGAAGCTAGCACATTTGCACTTAAGTTTTGTACGGCTAATCAATGAATCATGGACCACACAAAATTACGCTCAGCTGATTCATTTTGAGGCATGTGATTTGAACTGCACTGATGAAGGACGGATTGGGTTCATTCACAACAATAGCCAACTAGAGACATTGGAACTGTCCAGCCTAGAATATAGCCATCTAACAAATTTAATTCTATCAGGCAAGCTACCGCAATTGAAAAATCTACGTTTGCATTACTGGGGTCCATATTATAGTGAAAATTATTTTGATCCAATGCCAAATAACATGGAATTAAAAAATTTAGAAACATTCGGATTGACTAACAACAATGTTGAGTCATGTATGAACATTTTGAAGGCAATGACTCAATGCAAAAAGATCGCTGCAATCGATGTAAAGTGTTGGAATTGGAATGGTGATATCATTGTTGTCTTAGGTCAATCTTTTGTAATAGGTCAATCTTTTGTATTAGGTCAATCTTTTTGTTGGAAAGCATCGACATACAAGTTAAAGCATTGAAGTTAAACCACTTGAATCGAATGATTGAACAGCTCCCACACTTAACGCAAATCAAGTTGCGATGTGTTTCTGACTTTATCAATGTTGGCCAAGCTATTTCATACATCATTCAGTGCTGTACGAAATTGGAAGTTCTATCGATCGGCGTTCCGAAATTGTCGGAGCTAAAACATTCATTCATCTACGAAATGGCTGAAGCAACTCAACACAATCCAAAAATGAAAATGAAATTATTGAAAGTGGATTGTTCACTTGAAAAAGCGCTCACTGCATACCGGGGTACAGTTCGTCGTGGTTATGCAATATTGTATTGGAATGACTATGATCACATCCATAGCAAGACATCAACGGGTTTGCTGGACTTGAACGAGAAATGCACCCAGAAAATAATTCAACTCATTAGCACAAGTCTTAATGATTTAGCCGCACTGTTCAATACCTGTAAAAGAACCCAACAAGCGGTCAAAGATTACCTGTCGGAAAATGCTGTACGCGCGTCGATTGTGCCAGCGGCTCTTGACAAGAATGTGCTTGAATGTTTGGGCGAGCATATTTTACGGGCAGAACTTTCTCGGGGTTGTGACTTACCTCTTCAAAGTCAAAATGATTTCGATGATGACTATATGGATGAACTATATAATGAAGCATGCAAATTTCGGCAAGACCTCAACCGATACTGCTTGAATTTGACTGAGTTGACTGTGGATGTCTTCGATGATGATGATCTCTTGGATGAATTCGATCATCCGTGGCCAAATCTAACTAAGATCAAATTATCTTACTGTTACGATGACGGCTACCAGAATTTGCAACAGTTCACTAGTCCCAAGCTGGCTTACAATGCAGTGCTTTGATTTCATTGAAAGTAAGTGGGAAAAGGCGACAATTGTATATTGTGCACAAGAGTATGTGTGTTTAATTAATATGATTTGAATTCATCTCTCTAGTTCGGCGAATACAAACGCTACGTAAGACGATTTTTAATGGAATTTGATGATAACATTTGTCAGCAAATCCAGGAACTTTCGCTCGGCAACTATACTGAAGACTACATTCGATGCCGTGGAGAAGTCAACAAAGGACGCGTGCGGGAGTTGATCAGAGTCGTGTCTCGTTTCCGCAATGCAGCCTCAACGTATCACATAATTCGTAACTGCTGCGACCTGCTGCTAAAAGCCTAGTCACTGTTTTGTTTCGGTTCTCTTTTCGCAAACAGAACCACAAATCAATATTCCAACAAAAAATCAAATCGATATATTGATAAGAAAACCAAACAAAAAAACATTCTTTCAGGATAATTTCCTTTTTTTTCAAATACAAATTTTAAATTCATTCAGCCGATAGTTGTTCAGATTATTTTGTCGATATAAGACGAAGCGAAAATATGCAACTTTGAAATTATGGATGGATTTCTTTGTACTATTTTTATGGCGATTGACTTCATATTATGAAGGTAATGTATTGTATATGAAATCACCTTTCATTCAATTTACCTTTAGAATTGCACATATTTTGATTAAGGAATTCGACTTTGGCCTGAGAACATACTAGAAGTATTGAACATCTAAGGTAATCTAGATTTATTGAGATTTGACTTCTTTTCAAATTTACACAACCATAATCATTACTCTGAAAATTGTATCACTAAATCAACTTGACCATGTTAGAATGGAAGTGAATGAGTGACTTTATGTCATGTGGTGCGTTGTTTTAATGTATGTATGTATTTTAAATCAGCTGTTTTTAACTCTGGTTATCAATATGACATTTTCAGATATTTTAGCAAATTGTTCCTTTCTTTTACGTTGAATCGTGAGTTCGAAAACTGTGCTACGAATAATAATTGCTTGAATGTGTTATTTACATTAAATCTAAAGAAATCAAATATGACAATAAATTAAAATGCCCGGGATAATGTATCTTATTTTTATATCGACTATTTTCTATTTTACTTACAATTTCATTGAAATTAATTCAATTCAACCGTGTTTCAACGTTTTATCTTGCAAGTCAGAATTTTTTTTCAAAAAACTTTTTAAAAAAATCCCAATCGTTTAATCTCCATATGATGAGAGAATGACCTCTGATGGAGATCACCGGCGATATAGACATGACATCAATAAGGATAATAATACCCGTTTGTAATCTGCGCTCAACGCGCTTCATTCCGCTCTAAGTATCCATAGTGTACACAGTGAAGCGAATATATACCATATATACGACATACAACAGAGCGGGATAGCGCGAAATGTACGGAGCCTGTCACATACACAAAAGCGCACGCTTCGTTTGTATGCGGCGCAGAGTGCGTGTGACACATACTCTATGTGCAGACGCGCCATGCTTATTCGTATGAAGTGTATCTTCAATGAATATTTCAAAGAACTTTCTGTTCATGAGCAAATACGAATAAAAGATTTAAATAATCAACAACCCAAAATTTGTTTAAACTAATCAAGCGAAAAGCAGTATTCAATCTTGAAGTGAACATAAGATATTCGAATGCAACGGCAATATGTTTTATTTTTCATCAGATTATAATTTTTCGAATCCTGAAAGACTTTTGTAAAAAATTCAAATTTTCCATCATCGTTTAATCTCCATATGATGAGAGAGTGACCTCTGATGGCCGTCACCCAAATATAGACTTGACATCAATAAGTATAACAATAACAAACTCGGCAGATGTTCACCGTTCAGTCTAAACAACAAAATAAAGCCATTGCTTTCATATCCTTCTTCTAAACCACATCAGTTTCAAATTGAATTAACTTATTTAGTGAGAAATCGTGGAATTTGTGTTCATTTTCATCATTCAGAAAATATATTTCATTCATAATGCGTGATTTTACAATTGTGAACTCAATTCTGATGTACTCAATGATTTATATGTCTTTGAATGAGGTGGCTCCTTTGAAGAAATTCAGAGACACAATCGGAATAATATGGGTTTAATCTCTTGTTTTCGCAGGTATATTACGAGAATCTAATATCACACTAATATGTGCTATTAAGATGATCATAAAATTTAAGTAGTGTGAAAAAAATTTACGGAAATCATTGATATTCATTGATTTCACTCTAAAATGAGTTCTTAGCTAAAATAAATTGCACTTGGAAATTTTTACTACACAGAATTGGCAATGGCAGTCAAGCGAACGAAGTGTACCACAACAAAGAATCGTACGATTGATGTATGGTGTAGCATTGCAGTCTTTTTAACTCATGAGCTATTCTTCTGTCTAACAATCCTGTTGTTCCGAGAACTTCTGCCGAATATTGATGCATGGATCTCAGTGGATTTTTTGATGGTGCTTTCGGTTTTTATTCTACGTTTCATAGCGTTCAGCATAGAACATTTGATGCTTATTTATCATATGATTCAAGGGGTAAGTCAAAGTAATTGAAAAATATAGAATGAAAAAACAAATGCAAACGATAAATTCAAAACATCCTGCCCAGAAGTGTATATCATCAATTTCTTCATCTTCTTACAGACTGAATATAAGGTATGGCGCCTGTGCCTAAAAATTAGAAGATTGTACTTCGCTTACTGCACTGCGATGATTATTGGTATGGCACTAGTCGTTGAGGTTGGAACTGAGAGCGGGCGTTTTGCACTGTCATTTTTAGTAGCAATATGTCGTAAGAAATATAAAAAAAGAAAGAAAATGAGAAGAATCTCCGAAAATATTTTTTTTTTTCAGTTCATCATGAACTAAGTACGATTGGTATGCATGTGGTTCGTCACCACTAGATATACAAGGGCAAGGGCAAGGACAAGGGCAACTCATTTTATGCGTTCAGATTGATGCCTGCCATTATTTTTGGTGGTCTTGCAATCCTGATATTTTTAATACGAAATCTCCCAATGCAATTAACACATGGAACCAAATCATCAATGGATCTTGCAATCCAAGAAATCAAAGAAGTGAATCGCAATCAAGCAATAAAGATGCTATTTCCTGATCCAAAAGATAAAAACGATGTGACCTTTGGAACATCCCTATTATTAATTATGCTATATGTTACTTTTCTGAGTACGTAAACGTTACATTGATTGTTTTAGAAAATATTTATTTCTACAATTTTTTTTTGTATAGGTTTCGAGCTATTTCTCGCAGTTGAATATTGCCCTGGACTCAAACATGCAGGATTCTTGAAACTGTGGCAAGAGTCATCTAAGAAGCTCCGAGATTTATATTCTCGGTTGAAGACACCCAAGAGTAAAACCACAATAGAAACAATATAAGGTTGATTCGAAAATATGATGATTCATTTTTGCATTTCTTTAACTTTAAATGAAAGTGTAAATCAACGAATGGAAGATTTGAACAATATTGATTACTGAATCTGTTCCATTATTCATTTGAACTAATCGAACGAAAATAAAGTATGAATTTTCAATAACAATTCCAAACCATCATTATCAATGTGTATTTCTTTTCGAAACAATGAATAATGAAAACAAATATGCCTTAATATAAACGAATGAACATTTGAAATGTACGTAAGAATTGCGTAGTCGCAATGTTTCGTAGTTGTCTACGTAGTACGTATTTCACGTGTGCTTGACAGTTGCTTATTCCGAACACATTATTTACAAGCAGACAAACACACCGCAATCACAACCCGTACGTTTTGCTGCATCGATACAGCGTTTGATGTATTTTAATTCACCCAGAAAAATGAGTGTATGTATCGAATTTTCATAAGCTCTAATCAACTAAAATAATAGTATTCTTATCAATTTCGCACAAATAGGTTAAACCAAAGACAAACATTGCGGACTTGTTCCAAAATGCAAAGGACAGTGGAACGTATTTGAAAATATGTGCACCGATGGTTCGATATTCCAAGTTAGTTCACATTGAAATGATAATTCATGAGTCAATTTTCATCCATTTTCCAAATCTAAATATAATGAAGGTTCTAAATTGTCTCAAACTTCATACACAGATTAGAGTTCCGGCGATTGGTGCGAAAATATGGAGTGGATTTATGTTTTACGCCGATGACAATGACTGACTCATTTTGCCAAAGTGAAAAAGCCAGACAAGTGGAGTTCTCCACGAGCGACGGTATTTTTGACCATTCAGATTCAACGAATTTTTACAATTATCATCGAGTTTTAATCAGTTTTATTATATTCTTTCCCACTAGACGACACCCCATTGATAGCCCAATTTGCAGCGAACACAGTGCATGAATATTTGTCTTCCGCTGAAATGGTGTATCCGTACGTCGATGGAATCGATTTGAATTGTGGCTGTCCGCAGCGTTGGGCCATGCAAAGTGGTTTTGGATGTGCTTTACTCAAAGATCCAGAACTTATGAGAGACCTCACGTCGACACTTCGACGAAATTTCCCAAGCGATTTCAGTATTTCCGTTAAAGTGCGAGTTCAGAAACCATTGGCGTAAGTTCCACTTTCCAACTTCGATTGGATTTGTCACTCAATAATGCAAAAGTGGAAGGCAGAATTTTGGTGACGGTCGCGAAAAAGGTCGAAATCTTCACAAAAAAACATAAAGAAGCATTAATCACATTAATCTATTCCCACAGTCAAACGATCAGCCTGTGCCAGCAAATGGAAAAGTGTGGCGTCACATTTTTAACCGTCCACGGTCGAACGCCAAAACAAAAAATAAAGGATCCATCAAATAATGAGTTTCTACGTGAAGTAAAGCAGTCAATATCGATCCCAATGGTGGCGAACGGTGATTGTAAAACATTAGAAGATGGAGACGAGATGCACCGGATAATCGATTGTGATGGTGTAATGGCAGGTATATTACGAGAATCTAATATCACACTAATATGTACTATTAAGATGATGATGAAATTTATGTAATTTATGCAGCTCGGCATATACTATCAAATCCGACGTTATTCTCTGGAAAATATGACACAACACCTTTGGAATGTGTTCAAGAATGGTTGAATATTTGCCATGCGGCCGATCAGAATATCGTTTTCTCCGTCTTTCATCATCATTTGACATTTATGATGGAAAAATTAATTCAACGCAAACTACGTGGCCCATTTAATTCATTCACCAAAAAACAACAGGTGTTTGACTTTATCGATACCGAACTTGGGCTACGTCCACAGCCAATTTACGTTCCGGACAACATAAAATGTGTTTATGATGAAACGAATTACCGAAATCGACTCAATGACCTGAAAATCGAAACGACAAAGAAAAAACGGGAAGCGTACAGTTCCGAAAATACGCCAGGCAAATTTTTCTTAGAAAAAGCCAAGGAAGATCTGGAGGACAGTGACTGTGAGGAAGAGGAACTCTTTCAAACAAATATGTTTGATATCGTTTAATGGAAAATCATTTACCTTGTTCAAAAGTCGTGTGTATATATATATATATATGTTTATTGAGGGTTAAATTTTTGATACAAATAAAATGTGTTCATTTGAATACGAGCTGTCAAAGAAAAAGAATCCATTAAATGAATCGAATTTTTTGAAATATCCATCTTATTTAATCCATATCCATACCAAAGCGATCGACAGCTTCCATCATGCATTCTCATTCGTATCTTGTTATATATAGATATTGTTTTATTGTAATGCCTTCAATTCTTCTTATACTCTATTCTCTCAACTTTCACTTCATCGCCGATCAATTGATACACATAAGTCACAACGATACTGCTCTGAATATCCATTAGGACAAATGATGGCGTGATAAATGTTTCCAATGCATTATAAGCACCCGTTGCTGATCCGGGATTGATGTAGAATTTATTCTCATGTTCGTATGCTTCGAATTTATGTGTATGGCCCGAGATGAGAATGTCCACATCAAGTTGACGTTGCACCAGAGCCAGTGCTTCTGGATCGGCCCACGGTACAACTTGATGGCCATGCGTTAATCCGATACGGAACTGGCCCACAGTCACCACTTTTTGTTCGGGGTAACTTAAATTCTGGAAGGAGAAAAGGCGAAAAAGGAGTTGATATTGGTGGAAAAACGAAGAATGGAACGAGAAAATCAATTATGGAAATTGGACTATGTAAATTGGTCATCAATTATTGACAGAATTTCAATTTTTCCCATTTTTTGCTGAATTTTGATTGTTTTCTGTTTCCAATTTTTTTTATCTCCAGTCAAAAAATCTATCCCAACCAACCTCATCAAAATCACCGCGAACGATGTGCACATCATTGGCGAGTGTCTTCAGATAATCGTACGACTCCTTGGTGCACAAATTGCCCGTACACAAAATATGCTGAATACGACCCGGCACCAACAGTTTCTTGAATTTAGCTGGCAAACTGCTGCAGCGATGTGGAATGTGTAAATCACCCAGAACTAACACCAACTGTAAAAAAAATCGATTAGAATGTTCTAAATTAAGGTTGTGCTCGTCTGCCATTGAACAAATCTGATAAAATTTTATCGCACACACAAAGAAAACATGCAATTATAGTGGTATGTTTTATCTTCTGCCCACGAACTTAGAAAAAAAACATTTGGAAATGTGTAAATCCTTTCGATACAAACCATTTTAAGCAATAAACCAATTCGATTTAAAATGCAAAAGACAGAACAAGAAGTTTTTCGTCGAGTTTCGAGAATCTGTGCAGATAGAAAGAGAATTGTAATTGTTGTAAACAATAAATGAATTAATTTCTGGGGTGTATTTAAAGTGATACAGTCAACGTTTTGACATTTCGATGTGACACAATGCAATTCGTTTGGTTGTTTTGTACTTCGGTGTACTAGAGTGATTGTGTTATAACACTTGACCGTCATTGTAGTTGTCATTTCGATGAATGTGAGGTTATGGTGTTATTGTTTTGATATCAAAATTTGCGTAGCGATAAAAGTGTTTTGGAAATTGAAATTCAATCATGAATTCGATAGTTAGACCGGTTCTACGAAGCTGCAGTCGAAGATGGATTCAAAAGGAGACATCTTTACTGGATGGACGAAAAGAATCACAGAATTTTCAACCAATACGATATTATAAAGACTTTGGACACGCTCGCCAAACTGAGCCACTGGCAACGATACTTTTCTTAGGACTTGGAGCCTTTGTGTTTTTTATTTCCGGACTTCGATACATACAGTAAGTAATGTGACACCATTCACGTCCAATTATTCATTACAAATTGATAGGCAATGTGGTTTTTATGAATCATTTTTATAATCCATCGAATTATCTTTAATTCCAGTGATTTGAGCGATATATACGAGGAGGGAGAAGACAGAGGCAAACCAGAAAATGAAAGATTATACCGACTGGATTAAATTAGTTCATAGTTTTTAAAGCTGACATATTTAAATTATTTGGAAGAGAAAAAAAAAACAATAAAAATCGTAGAAGCAAATCAAGCAATTGCAGTTTCTCATATTGATTAGGCAATAGTTTTCTCATTGAAATATCTGTCAACGAGACGAAAAAGAGAGAAAAAGGAAGAAGAAGAAGAAGAAGTCAACTAGATTTGACAGATCAGCTGTTATATTTTTATCCTCTACATTTTGTGCACAACGTCAAATCCACAATTTATGAGAAAACTGCTCTGAAAATTGGGTTTTTGTGATGGTTTAGTCCTAAAAATTTGTTTTCAATAGTTACCATTTAGAGATAATATTGTAAGTAAATCAAATTCAATCGAATAAAGTGTGTATTTTGATACTATCATATCATTTTTGTAAAATCAGGTTTTTTTTTTGGTCACAAACAACAATAACAAAAAATTACCACAAAAATGTCGTCTGTGATTCGATGTGGTCAGTTGGTTAGTGGTCATTTGTCCACCATCCAACGTCAGTCTGTGCAATTAAATAAATGTAGCCGAATTTTGAGTGTGGTACCGATTTATGGCCGTGATTCATCTGACATCCGTCGCAACTATTTCAATCAACGATGGGACAGACAAAACAATCAACAGCACCAATTTCCATTCGGGTTAAACGTTTTTGAGCTCATTTCAATTGGGTGTGTTTCGGTCGCCATATACAATTGGAAACGGTAAGCCTAGAGAAACCGCAAAAAATTCGGTGAATGCAAGAAATTATTATTGATTTTCAACCAGGTTCTACGAGTATGTCACACCAGTTGTCAATGCAGATGCTGGAACAAAGCCAAAAGACTCGACCGTCAACGAAGAAGATTCGTCCGATGATGAAAGTCTCAGTGACGATCAACAAGTGAAGAAAAAGCAAAAACGAGAGAAAGTCGGATTCCGTGATCGAAAGGTATTAGTCAGTTTTTCCCCTCCATACTCATGACACACATGCAAAAACTGTATCCAATTCATTTGTTTTGGTTTTTGTTCATTTTTTTCTTTATTTTTTCTTTGAAATATTTCATACTATTTTGTTTCAATCCTCTTTATACACCATGGAACAAAATTACCCTTTTGATAATTCATGACCGCTGTAGATTATTGAATATGAAAATCGGATGCGAGCATTTTCAACGCCTGATAAAATTTTCCGATATTTTGCCACCGTTCGCATTGTCACACAACAGTCAACCGAAGTGTACATGACACCAGACGATTTCCTTCGAGCTATCACGCCAAATATGAAACAACCAGACGGTACTTACCATTACATTAGCTTATCAACGACCTATGCATATTAGATTAAAACAACAACCATTTTTATTCACACGGTTGCGGAATAAATACGATCGAATTCGAATTAAGGGCTCTCGAGAAAATGATATACCTTAAGACTGAATTTTAAGATTCAAATGGCATTATTCGCTGGTCGATTGTTTGCATCTGTCCTAACATTTTCAATTGGGGTTTCGATTGTTCGCTACATCGATTGGTTATTGGCTCAATTTGTTCATTTTTCCTTTTTTTTAGCATTTTACGCAATCTTTTCAACTTCTTTCCATTTTTTTTGTCACATTTTCCTTTTTTTTCATTTTGTACTCGTTTTTGCTTTTTTGTTTCGCATTTTGTAATTTATTTTGATTTTTTTTTCTCGCTTCATTCATTTTTGCATCAGTCGTTTCTCGTGTTTCATTAAAATTTCAGTTCTTCATAATCACACTAATTAATTGGCTAACCTTGCACACAAAGTGATCGCAACGTTAAAAATAAAATCGTTTTTGTGTACTTTCGCTATATGCGATTCGAGGTCACACAAATTCATTTGCAATACGAATACAACAACAATGAAATGAGTTGTCAATGACAACTTGTCATTGGTCTTGGTTACTGATCCAACTGCTTGCGTCTACTTTCTTTTTTTCTTCTGGCTTTACGTTTTCTTTTAACAGATCATCGAATATGAGAATCGTATCCGTCATTTTTCGACGCCTGATAAAGTGTTTCGATATTTTGCCACGATTCAAGTGCCACATCCTCACGGCGAGTCGGAGGTGTTTATGACACCTGTGGATTTTCTAACCAGTATGTGTCTGCATTTTGTTCAACATTATCATTTTTTTTTGTCCAACACAAACTCACATCAATTTTGGAATATATCGTTATACTAATCATTTTGGAACAACATCAAAAATTTCTCATCAATACTTTTAGGCATGACACCGGGGATGAAGCAACCAGATGGTATTTATGACAATCATTTTTGTGCAGTCTAACTAAGCTGTTGCATGTTTCACACAGACACACACACACACACACACACACACACACACACACACTAAAACTAAGTTCATCATTAGTTATATAGTAACATTGCATCGGTTTTGGATTAGATATGATTCGCAGTAGCTTCTAGCGAATTGACATCATTTTGAATATGGAATAATATGATTTGTTTTTTTATCAACATAGGCTTGGGACTTGACCAATACCGTAAATACGATCCAAAGGTAATTCATCAACTTTAATATTAATTGTTTGTTTTGAATGTCTCAAAAAAGAAAAAAATTCGTTCAATTTATCGACAATTCCAATCACGACTAGTCTTAGATCGTCTTCCAAAATATAGTCTTATGTTACACCTCCAATATATATCTCCTCTATCTTCACGTGGATGATTCTTTTCGTCACAATTGAACTCTTTCAACTCTCTTATTCTGTCTTGAATCAAAATCATTGTATATGATTCCATTTTACTTCGATTTTGATCTGTCAATCAAAAAAAAATCGATCAAACGCATTTTACGAATTTTTACTTTCAAAAAATCGTTTTTGTGGAGCAAACCGAATTTTCTTGGACATAAGAATCGTCATGCTAGTGTGTCTATCTCACGATTTTCTGGAGTGTCTGTAAAAAAAATTTGTTTTTCTTTTTTTTCTGAAAATATTTTTTTTTTTTTTAATTTTGAATGACAATTAATCACAACTTTTCTATTTTCTTTTCTGTATCGCACAAATTTAATCCAAATTTCGAACGAAATGAAAAAAAAAACAAATTTACACAAATAATGAAAAACAAAACCCAAATCAATAAACACACACACACACAAATCTATAAAAAAAATATTCTGATATCCCGCAGGAAGAGGTACTTCAAAGCATTATTTTTCGTTTTTTTTTCTCTAGAAGTTATTTCCTCTCGTTCTTGGTTTAGCTTGTAAAATTAGCCCAACTTTTTGCGGAATGAATATAGAATTCTTAACAAAATCAAAATAAAACAAATAAAGTTCAAAAAACTAAAGCAATTACTTTTACACACACTCCCATTTTTTTTGGCTCAATGAAAAG